ACAATCGCGAAAACCTAAAAACTCGATATCCTCAAATATAAATTTAAATGTGCTCAAATGTGGAATGAGTATTTCGATATAATATCAAGAGATAACGGTTTTTTTTATAATATCATGTGACGGGACGAACAAGGCGTGCACCTGATGGTAAGCTACACGCCTGTCCATAATAGTTGCAGTGCTACTCAGAGCTTTAAATCGTAAAGATCTGAGGGGCACTGCCACTGCGCCCATCACCCTGAGACATTAGTTGACCAATTCCGTGTGCCTGTAATTTCACCAGCACCCTTACCCTTCAAAACCGGAACACAGTAATGCCGATATTTACTGCTTGGCGGCAGAAGTAGGTAAGTTGGCAGTACTTCCCTGGACAAACTCTCACAACGAGCTCAACTACTAAACTGGTATCTGGTATCGCACAATTCAGTGTCAGCCTCCTCGTTTACCTTGGTTTGCAGAATGTGACTTTGGAAGGAAAATAGTCGTCATCGCACTAACAAAGAGTTCCGGATACGTTCCATGAAATAATTTTGCTTTCTTGATAAAAAAAAACAATTCTCCAAATTGCTAGTTATGCGGAGTAGTAGAAGATGTATATATCACTGTTAATGGAACGTGTCCGGTACGAGCAATAGAGGGCGGTGTTGACCTGCAGACCAATCGAACATCCGTAAGTGCTATAAATTGTATACTATGGTCGTTTTTGAAGACGGAGTAAAATGACAGTTCACAGCGCAAAAGTGTTGCCCGCTTGCGAGCAGCTACTGATAAAATATTCTATCGACTATCGACGGAATATTGGTCGTGCTTATGGAATAAATAGCCGAACTTGTTTCATTTGAATTATCCTAGACACATTATTAATCCTATTATTGAGCATAAGTTCATTGTCATTGTCAAAATAAGAATAAAGAACGCTATAACGCAATTAGTAATTATCATAACTTCGAAGCATCACAATTCAGTCATTTTTTGGTAAAATTTTATCTTCTTTCACACTATCGATAAAACTATCGACAACAACTACATAACTATTTAAAATTTTATGAAAACTGACAACCCTACAAATGTCATTTTACTCCGTCTTAAAACAGGACAGACTATAGGCAACCTCTATACGAAACTACTCATAGTCAGACTCATGCCTAGGTTTTATGTCTTAATTTATAACCGGCTATAAAAAATGGAGGAGGTTCACAATTTAACTGTATTTTTTTGTATGTGAACTGATTTTGATGATTCCTTTTATGTTGGAAAGAGGATAACCTCAGCATTATCCGTTTCAATTTGACGAAAATATTCCACCTATAGGGGGGGCAAACTAGGGAATGAATCCGGTTTCGCGGACTTTCCGGTAACCGATTTCAAAAGTTTGACAAGTGGACGTAAACACGAACATTTGAGGTGGGTTTTTTTAGCGCTCTGTATACTGAGATTACAATAATGTAATAATAACGACAACCGTGGTAATAACGTAAAGTCTATCGGTTTGGCCTGCCGCATCTCGAGCTGAAGCCGTGAGCTCGAATCCGTGTTCCTACCTATTTCTCGAAATTTATAATAATAATAATAATAATAACACACAAACTCAACATAGCCCCGCATTAGGGAAACCCTGTGTCGCGGGTGCCGGATGCAGTTATAAACGAGCTTTTCGGTGATGGGTAACATCGTGATGCAACTTGCATGTCGAAGAAGGTTCACAAACCTCAGAAAACGAGGGAAGTCCCCAACCCTGAGAGGAAACCCGTGTCCAGCAGTGCGACGAATAAATGGGTTGATGATGTGATGTTATAATAATGATGTTTACATGATCTCACGATTAAATATTGCTATCTCTAAAGGAAATTACAATACACGAGTATAATGGTGAAATTACAAGCACATGGGACTTGTCAAGTTATGTCTCAGGGTGACGGTCACAATGGCAGTGCCCATGAGATTTTTGCGTTTTAAAGCTCTGAGTGGTACTCCAACTGTTATGGACAGGCGTATCGCTACCACCAGTCTCACGACTTGTTCGTCATTTAAGAAATATGGGAGGTACCTACTTATTACGTTAAATTCTGCAATAAATCGGTATTGGAAATTTTAAGTTGCATTATAGTGTTGTATTTTAGATCTTGTCAGTGTGTGTAGTAGCCACAAATATATATCTTTCCAGTATCTCCCCGGGAGAGTCTATTCCGTAAATTATCTCGCAGTTTGCCAATGTACGGATGAGAGGGCCCTTCGCTTCCTTTTGGTTCTTCTTCACACCTTCTCAATTGTCATCTTCTCTTCCTCTTTGTATCGAAAAATGGAGTCTATTCATTATCAAGGTTGTTAGAGAATAACAAATCGCATCTTAGTGTAGTAGGGTCATATCTGCAAAATGACAACTTTTCAGGAGATATATTTGAAGATTCTATGAACGATATTAGTTTTTTATGCTTAAATAGGACAATTATAAAATTTAACTTACCGGCCATGCTCGGACTAGTATTTATTATTTAGATAGTGAGTTTCCGTGGCAATTTTTTTTATATGAATTTACAAATATATTATCGTGTAATTATTAAATAATATTTCACGACACAATACTCGTATATTAAACAATATTTCACGATAAAAAATCGAACAGGCACATTATTAATCAAAATTTCCACCGAAATTAGGTAGAGAGAACACTAACTAGTACGAGAATGATCGATCATCATTTGTTTCATGAAGTTCGTATTGTTTTTATGATTTTCATGAGGTATAAGCATTTTTGACGTATGATCACACATTCAGACTCAATGAAAAATTATTTACTCACTTCCAGATTATTAATTTTTTTTTATAACATCAAGTGACAACAATTCAGCTACACGTCTGTCCATGACAGTTACAGTGTCACTTAAAGCTTTAAATTGCAAAGATCTAAGGGGCGCTGCCACTGTGCCCGTCACCCCGAGACATACGTTGACAAGTCCCATGTGACTGTAATTTCACCAGCACCCTTACCCTTCAAAACCGGAACACAGTAATGCTGATATTACTGCTTGGCGGCAAAAATAGGTAAGGTGGCAGTACTTCCCTAGACGAACTCTTTCACAAGGAGTTCTACTGCTACTAAAAAAATGTATGTATAAGTTAAAGTTGATTACAAACAGTTAAACAGTATCTTACTTGCCAAATATCGCACTGTTAATACAATAGTGTATTAACTCAAAAAGTATACTTTTTCGGAATCGATGAAAAACGAATTACTCACTTCTCCTGAAAGATTATTAAAATTGTAAGGTATACGCAAGTTTATTATGGACATGTAAACAATTTCCTATTCGTCAAATATATTTGAAAATGAAAGGGAAAACATAATTTCATAGTTTTTGAGTGAGGACTGTTTTATTCAGAACTAGGTCACAAAAACTTTGTCTCATTACGAGTTAAGTAGATATTTATACATCTATATATATCTTTCACAAGATTTTTTTTACTATTTCTCATAATATTATTATGACGTCAATACAAATTGATGTGTAAAAAATTTTACGTTCAGCAATAGAGTAATCTTGAATTTCACATATTTTGAGTTACAACACTATTGCAATAGCAGTGCGGTATTTAAAAATATTTATCGGACTGCTTTGTCAAAAACTCACAAGTTCACAAAAAGTTTGTCTCGTTTTGAGTTAAGTGGATATCTTTTAATTATACAATCAAATTTTACGTTCAGCAGTAGTATAAGTAATCTTGAATTTCACATATTTTGAATTGCAACACTATTGTAATAGTAGTGTGATGTGGTTTAATGAAACCAAGGGCACGAATATAACGTTTTTTATGTTTAAGATGTTATTGATAATCGATTTAATGTAAAGTTTAACAATTTTGAAGCTATATCGATGGGTCCTAAGTATAAAGGCCAAACTAACAATTTGATCATTTTCACTTCTTTGTGGGAAATGCTTCATTTCATTATAAAATGAAGATATATTACATTACATATAGCTATTACAGTATATTATTTCTAAAAATTAGGTGATACTCCAAAAGATGAAGATGATTGTGTATTCATTACCGTGGTATTAATTAGATTGTAACTTGTTGTAGATTAGAACACGTATTGCGGTCAATGCCAGCTTCTTTTTAAATATTCTGGCCAATAATTTCAATTTGCAAACCATTATGCTCTTTATCTGGTATAACAGTGGGTTTGGCATAAAAAAAATAAACCTACTTATTAATGTTTAAAAATAATTTATTACAAAACTCTTCGTTACAATTTTACGACTTCACATCAGAAGTGGTTTTTTTATAATTATAATACATTGTATTTTACATTTCTTTTTTAAATTTTTGATTATCACGCTTATCATCCTTTTAAATAAAATTAAATTAGTTTGTTCATTGACTTACAAATAAATGGACGACGGGTCTAATACAAAAACTACGAAAAAAATGTCCCAAGTCAACCTATTTAAACGTAGTGACATGTAAAGGAATATGAAAAAGCTAAAACGTTGAATTTAAATTGTAATGTCATCGCAGTACTGTCTAATTTTGCTTGCTTCGCTGTCAGTCGAACAGACGAAGACTAAAGCGTGAATGACGCTCTGTATACGATTTTAACGCCCTATAAGTTCGGACACTTTTTAGCGCGGACCCGACGTCCATATAATTGTAAGTCAATGAGTTTGCTCGGTTGTTTTTGAGTATTTTCTTTCGCACATTCCAATAGCATCTTTAGGAATACCTAAGAGACGATAAATGTTTTGATCGTTTTTTATTTATTATACGATTCATTCATAAAAACTTCATTAGTTGAGAGTAATTTTTATCCATTGAAAATTTTGGCCATGGTCAATTATATGTTTTGACAATAGTACCAATGTTTAACATTTCATCTTTATAAAATATACCGATGCCTCCAATGAACACTACGTTAAGTTAATTTTTTGGTAATTTATTTTGTTTTTTGTTTCTTCGTTTTTTCACAAAATTCGTTTTTTTGTTTTTTTTTCACACAATTCGCAAATAAGGCTGTTTATCTTAAAAACAAAAGCTGACCAATAAATTAAATTATCGTAGTGTTCATAAAGGTATCCATAAAGCATTTGAGCAATGTTACAGACAAATAATAGCAAGCACGTTAAACATACCGCATATAATAAACAAAAGAAATTAACTTATAACTGTCAATATTGCATGGCAAAATAATCACGTTGCCATAAAATTAAAAATAAGTTAACAAGTTTTGCTCAGAGGCCCATGAAAGGTACTCAATCTTTAATAATGGTAACCAGTTTCAGAGTCAAAGCTGGTTGCAGGGGGTTTCCTTGATGCATCGAAGACTTCTCCTTGCCCTGCAAAGCTACTTGTTGTAGGACCAGTGCCCTGAGCACCAAGGAACGTACTTTGAGAACCAAACTGACTCTGCCCAAACTGGGACTGAGTACCAACACTGGGCCGAGTGGGTTGGGCCCCGAAGCTTGGTCTTGTAGGTTGTGCCCCAAAGCTCGATCGCAAAGGCTGAGAACCAGAGTTGGGTATGGATGACTGACAACATGGTCTGCCAAATCCAAACTGGGAACCATCACTATTTTCCTGATTCTCTGTTTGAGATTGACTGGAAGGTCTTGATGGTGAAGCAAACTTTGTCTGTTCAGATTGTCCCTGAGTACTTGTGGACTGTAAACCAAATGTAGCTTGAGCTGAAGCGGTTTGTCCAAATGGAGTTCGGGCTGGTTGGCCAAATTGAGACCTTGAGCCAAATATTGGTTGCTGCTGAGCATTCTGTACAGCAAAGTTGTTTTGTCCAAATTGAGGTACTGATGTCTGTGCACCAAAGTCAGGTTTTGTAGTCTCAAATATCTGTGAAAATTGAGAATTCGTCGAACTTTGACTGTCTTCATTATCCTGTCCCATTTGAGGTCGAGACTGACCGCTAAATTGGGTTTGCTTTTTCTGACCAAATTGTCCAGATGTAGTTTCTGCGTCTTCAGGAGCCGGCAGAGTTTGTGTTGGTTTAGCATAGTCATAAATTTCCCCGTCGTATTGTTGGGTTGCTACGGATGGAGAAGAAGTATCATCATTTCCCGGCTGGTTTCGGTTTAAGTCTTGCTGTCCAAAGGTTTGAGCTTGAGCTTGATTTTGAAGTGAAGATTGTTGACTTTTAGAACTTTGAGGACCGGATTGTGAACCGAATAAAGACTGGGTAAGGGTAGTTTGCTGACCAAATAATGGTTTTCGAGAGTTTTGATCAAACTGGTTTGAAGTTTGAGGTCTTGAATCGAACTGAGTTTCAGTGTTGAATTGAGATGATTGTGTAGGCGCTTGTGAAGGGAATGGTGATATTGAGGCCTGAGTTATACCATTGAAACCAGAACTTTGATACTGGCTCTGTGTAGAGGCAGGTGTAAAAGCAGTAGGTGCTACTGTGGGAGGTCGTGGGTATTTAGAAGAACCTTGATAGTTGCCGCTTTGGGCCACAAAGGGACCAGCAGAAACATCTTGACGAGCATTCGTAAGCTGAGGATTGCTTTGAGCACCCTGGCCTACTCGGTTAAATTGATTAGATGGAACACTTGGAAAACGAGATGACTGAGGAGTATTGAAGGGTTGAGAAGGTTGGTTGTAATAATATGAATCATCAGAACCTTGTTGTTGCTGGTTAATACTGGGTCTCTGAGTACTTGCAGAGTACTGCGCATCATTATTTTGCGCACCTTGAGATTGTTGGTTGAACTGTGATTGTTGAATGAACTGCCCTCGGGTCGCCTGAGTAGGGAAAGCTGGAGCTTGTGTCTGTCCAACAGATCCAGAACCTATTTGCGACCCAAAAGACGGCAATGCTGATGATGAAGGCTGAGTTGGTGATGCAGATAATCCAGGATAAAACTGGTTTCCAAATTGGGTTTGAGAGGGACGTCTATTAGAGGGACTAGAATCGAACAAAACCTTGTCAGAAGTTGTCGTCTGGGATTGGGCTGAAGAAGAGTCGGCACTAGATTCAAATGGTGTAGTTAATTCAGTTTGCGGCTCTGCAGTTGCTTTCTGATCCAAAATGCTTTGAGCAGATGAGAATGGACTACTTCCTGTGGATAGACGTTGTTTTTCGTTTGATGTTGCTTGTGGCTTTTCGAAACCATTAAACTGTTGTGATCCAAATGCAGATTGAGAACTAGCTGTAGAGCTATGACTAAGACGGTTTTGATGTGAAGGTGAATGAGTATCAGACTGGGAAGATTGTTGATTGAATTGCGATCCCATACCAGAAGAAGCACTAGGTTGGTTTAAAAACCTATTTTGATTAGATCCTGTCGTCGGAGGTAAATATTCTTTTCTACTACCAAAGCTAGCTGATGCTTGACTAGATTGACCACCTTGACCAAATCTATTTGAGAGTCTACCATTGTTGGATGAGGGGTTTTGAGAGGAGATAACATTGGTTCCGAAATTAGATTGTCCAGAAATACCAGAGATTGGTTGGTTATAGGATGTGGAAGTAGTTCCCAGAGGTTGCTTTTGTTCTTGTAATTTCTGTTGTGATAGTGCTACAAAATTGTCAGTATTTTCTTCGTTGGTATTGACTTCCTGAATGAATTGCATGGTACTATCTGGAGAACTATCAACTTGCGGTCTTGAACTTTGAGGGCGACCATTTTGTGGACGGCTGAAACCATTAGTTGGTGGTAAGTACTCGTTCCTGTTGCCAAAACCTTGACTAGATTGTGCGCTAGCGGAAGACCCAAAACCGTTTGTCTGACTTTGCGCTGATGCAAAACCAGACTGTCCTATTTGTCTATTTGGATTGGAAGCTTCGAAACGACTTGAAGAACTTTGACTGAATCTATTGGCAGCCTGAGGCTGTTTGCTTCCAAAACCTGTCTGCCCTGATGATGATCCAGATCCAAATCTGTTGCTTGTAGCTCCAATCCGGTCCTCATTTGACTTTTGTTCTTCAAACCCGTCAGTACCAAATGCTCTATTTGGACTTTCGCCGTGTTCTAAGCTCTCGTGGCCTTGTCCTTGTGAATGACCCACTTGCCCCGAAAATCCTTGATGTCTTGTCTTTTCCTGTGCTTTTACTCCAGGTCTAAAAGGTTGATTGCTCTGGCTGATAAAACTTCCGCTTCCAGTTGCATCCACTTGTCCGAATTTAAACGATTGATGGCTAAATTTTCCTTGTGCGTTATTGCTTTCTGAGTAATCGCTTCCTGCATTGTACTTCTGAGCATCGTATGAGCCTGTAAATAAAAAATGAAAGTTGTTAGCAATTTGTCAACGCCTTAGTGTGACGATATATTAGTCGGTAATCCATTTGTCAAAGCGACAATGGGCTTAAGCCGGTAACAGTGGTTCTGAGAATGAAATTGTTTGGCGTTCCTCGGACAGTACAAGTAGGCTTTGTTCAAGTGTCACAGGCTGTATGAAAACAGCGAAAGATGAGGAAACTTCTTTTCAATTACGATTAATAGAAAGAGCCCCTGCGTCATTTCATTATTTTTAACTATTTCTAAATTCATATGAAGAGTTACTTTGTCATGAAGTTTTTTTGCATTATATGCTTAAGTATATTTTAAAACAATTAATCATAAGTTAAGCCATTAATAGCCGTATTAAATGTAATCGATCATCGAGAACAAAATGTTGACACACTAACAAGTACTTGACTCTTGACTGCATTCTTCACGTTAGAGTTTTTATATACGGAACTCTCTTTTTAAAACCTGTTCCCGCTTGCTATTGTTATGTCACACGTTGATTAGACACCGGTTTTCTGTAGGTAAATAACCTCAACTATGACTAATTGTCCAATCAATAACTTTATTGAGTAAGTTTTGGTTTATTTGAACTTTGTTTGATACGGTTAAGTGCATAGTAAATATCAGTAAGTACGTATCAGCGAAAATCATTCGACTGAATAGTTTGATATGGATGACTTTATTAAATAACAAATGAGCATTGCGAAATTGTAAGTGACGGAATAATGAGATAATTAAAAGAATGCGACGAGATATTAACATACAACTCTGTAGATTATAAAGATCAGGCACTAAAGGCTTGGTAGGATGAAATATAATGTTAATTTAAGTTCATTATCAAGATAGAACGAGTGCGGGTTATAGCTTATTTTTACATAAAGATTTTAACCGACTTCAAAAAAAGAGGTGATTCACAATTTGACTATATTTTTTTTTGTATGTATGTTACAAGATAACTTCGTTACGTGAACCGATTTTCATTGTTCTTTTTTGTTGGGAAGAGAGTACCTCAGTATTGGTTCCATTTATGAATCCGGTTTCGGGCACTTTCCGGTAACCGATTTCAATAAAACTTGACAAGTAGATGTAATTCCACGAATTTTTAAAGTCTTTTTTTTTATAAAATTGTTATAATAGTTATAAAAGTTTGACAAGATATCTAGGACTAAAACGAGTAAAAAATGTGCATACTAGAGTTCGTTCTCAAGATTCTGGACAATGTTAAAATAAAAAATATTTCAAGGTGGAATAATAAATTTATCTAATATTAAGACAAGATTCAATTTGAAAGAATTTGAATAAGAAACAGTAAAATAAATTCGGTGCCATTTTTTCTCTTTTTTTATAAAAAATTAAGTGCTTCTAAACAAAAGCACGGTAACGCGTGTAAAGATAACAATGCAAAAAACACAAAAAAATGACAATAATTTGTTATGGAAGATGTCGCACATGGTGGCGTTGCATATAATTCCGTATATAAATTCTAGTAATTTATCAGGTGTATGTGGACTTTAAAATAATGATTAAATATAAACCAGTCACTAATAACGTTTTCATGTGAACGAATGATGGAAATACTTTTAATTTTTACACAAATTCTAGTATTTAAAACACATTTTTAATAAGTTATTATGTATAATCATGGAAGTGCAGGTTTAAAAACAACTAGGTAAATATAATTTCTCAAACCGGAACATAGTTTAAAAAATACCTGTATTCTTAATAAAACAATAATGTATGTGGTATCAAAATCAACAAACGCACAGCCTTTAAAGCAACTGTCACCAAAACAACAACACAATGAACCTTAAACAGGAGAACTTTTAGCGTAATGATTTGGCTTTTCTTGTAAATAGTGACAGAAATTTGGATTTGAACGAGACTCTAATAATATATATATAAATTTTTATGTTTTAATTCTACTTCCATTAACGGAGAGAGAAAAGGGGTCCTATAACGGGTTCACCGCCTAATTTCCGCTGCAATTTGGAATATATTATTTAATATCATATATTATTTATATTTTAATAGACTTAGTGATTGTTATTTTGGGGCAACACATTTGACGAACGTGAGACCTAGCTACCCATAGTATTATATAGGATCCTAGTTTGGAAGTTAGGCACATCTCTGTACCTATTTTTCTTTATTTTGCACTAAAGTTTTTTATTTTTATTTATTAATTAAATATTATTTAATATTTTACGATTACGTATTTGTAGGTGAAAGCAATAACCGAAAACATTACCATGATTCTACAAAGCTTCAATACAGACAACGCAAAATTGGATCATACATAAAACGCAAAGTTCATAGGAGATTCTGTTTTTTTTAATTGAGTAAAACATAGTTTGAATTACCGAAGAACTCGATTGAATAATGGAAATAAGTTCGAACGATTTATCGAAAAAATGTGTGTGAAGTTTTGACGATAGTTAGTTAAACTATTGCCTAACATTTTCATAACGTAGGGCTTAATACCTCTCCCTGAAGAACATGCCTCGATCAACATTAATTATTATGCGCATGTAGTGAATTCGGGAACCGTGTTGTAACTCGAAATCGTTACTCTGCAATGGTATACGTTAAACATGTAAAATGCATAATGAAGTGTATAAACAATTTATAAAGAGCATTGTATCTGTTGAAGTTTACTAATGACGTCATTTTTTAAAAGCAACAAACAACCTAGGGATTTATTTTAAAGCCTGAGACATTTATAAAGTAATCTAGTTATTATTGGTATTCGGTGTAAAATTTCTCAGTGCATGCCTTTTTTGTAGAACCTGTTATATATCCAGCCTTTATTGTTGAACGGTGAATTGTGTTGTTATTTTCAACTTTACTTAAATTTGTGACGAATTTTAATTTAAAGTACGTCAATTTTACTTTTCTTTTTTAATTTTAAATAATACAAATACAAATATTATGATCAGTTATTGAACTTGAATATACAATGCTACACCTTGTTTTTATTACTACTAAAGCCACACACAGCACCTAGAATTCGAATTTACAACTGTGCGGTAACATTTGCTATATGTTAAGCATATTCTGCAATAAGTGACGATGAAAGAAAATAAAAAATGGCTTACCATCATCAATAAGCCCTGCAGCTTCATCTCTCGCATTTTGTTCCAAACTCCTTAAAATTTCCTCAGGAATTGGAGGTGGCGTAGGCAAATGGTCTCCTTTAGGCTGGTAACCTCCCTCATCAGCCGTATAACTTACACTGTAAACCTGACCATCATCACCAGTGTACGAAAACCCTCCCTGAGCCTGTACTCCGTTCGTTGCTACACCATTTTCTTCAGCAGTAATACCGTTGTCAGTTTCAAAAGCGTAGCTATAACTTTCCGGACCTACTTCGTTTTCAAATCTCAAAGTGTTTGCTGCTCTGTCCAAAGCTGCTCTCGGTCGTTCAGCGCCTCCAGTTTGGAAGTTAGAACCTTGTGCAGATTGGAATCTTTGATTATTCGTTGATTGCCCATCATTATTGAAAGCATTTTCATTTGTTTTAAAACCCGCAGCTCCGACTTTAGAATTAATCGACCCATAGGACAATCTCGGTGCTCCAAGACCAGTGTCTTCACTTCCTGATGCCCTGGTACCTGCAGCAGCAGCATCAACGACAACTCCTTCAAAGTCATTGGTAAAACTACCCTTTGGGAGTCCACCTAGGCCATTGTTTCCTAGAGAGTTCTGTAAGGGAGTTTGTAAAGACCCAGGTGAACCTCCAGCTGTTTTAGCTGATGCAGGTGGGAGGTACGTGCGGTCGAGCTTAGCAGCTCCGCATACCGCTATAAAAGCGGCTATAATTATCTGAAAAACGAAATAGTATTGCTTTAACAATTAAATATTGATATCTTACTAGTTGAGTAAGGGCTGTACAATAAATAAACGTACAGATGCGCTATTGAGAAAACGAACTGTCATACATTAAAGAAAGTTATTGAAATAAATACATAGGGGTTTAAATATTACTGTAACTGCTCTTATAGTCATCCAGAGAAAATTTGGCACTTTTTTAAATAAAATTGTCATATATGCTTGTAGTATTTGAACATTTCTATTTGTTGTTATACAAAAAACAGAAATTTTTAATTTCCTAATAGGATAGTTCACTGTAACAATAGAAATTTAAAAGCTCATTGTCAAAAATAAGTCACTCTCCGTAACCATTTAGTTATCTAGATCACACTTTTGTCTAACACCGTTACATAAGTGTCACTTCACTTTAATAAATCACTTTGTTAAAAATATTACCAAATTCATTATTGTGGTCCCTGGATGCTGTTGCAATGATGGGTTGAGACGTACTGATTGTACTTGGAGCCTTCTTTTGGTTTTTATACTCCATGAAAAGTTGAATAAAAAACGTGCTCGTGCGTATGTACAAACTTACCTCATCCGCCACGTATGTGTAATTTTCCGATTGTAATGACTTTGTGCTGTGGTGATAAGAATTAGTTTTGATAGTTATAATTTTTATTTAACTGCAAAAGTTAATTTTGGAGATGCACGTATAGATTCCAAGTTCAAGCAGTTTAGTCAAGTTAATTGGAGAATACTCTTGCTTAGTTACGAATATAACTAAAATCAAACCGTTTCGTGAGCCATATTATTATGAGGGCACGAGGTAATAATAATATTTTTTATAACTTAAACGGTGGATTAGGTCAGTGTTAACTTAAACGTGTTTTTCTTAAATTTTTATTATACTAAAAAAATATTACAGTATATGTAAAGTGATTTTAATTGTTTTTTTTTTGTAACCATTTTGTTTACACCATTTGTGATACCATGGTTTATTTTGAAAGTTATTCCATACTTGAAAGTACCAACTGACATTATATCTTCTCATTCTTCGGCCCGATATCCGGCAGTGGGTAAAATCGGGCTATGAAGGATAATAATGACGAATATCCGTCCAACCAAACATCATCAACCCAAAGTACGTCCCGCTGCTAGATAATGGTCTCCTCTAAAGTTATTTTTTTTATAATCGTTCGTGATGGAACGAACAAGTAGTGCGCCTGATGGCAAACGACAAGCCTGTTCATAACAGTTACAATGCCACGCAGAGCTTTAAATCGCAAAGATCTGAGATGCACTGCTTCCTGTTCCCATCAAACTAATTAAACTGTCTCCGTGGCCGAACGGTTACCTGCCACGCAGAGGTCCCAGGTTCGATTCCCGGGTCGGGAGAAATATTTGTATGGCCTACAGTTATTTCTCTCGTGAGTTTGGGTGTAATTTGTGGTTGTCTATGTGTGTGTCCATGGCACCCGCGACACAGGGTTTCTCTAGTGCGGGGCTATGTTGAGTGTGTGCGTTATTATTATTATTATTATTATCACCCTGAGACATAAGTTGAAAAGTCCCATGTGCCTGTAATTTCACCAGCCTTTCAGATATTTTGCTTTTATAA